GCGGAGTTTAATTCCCAAGAGGCGCTCAAGGCACAAAGCGTCCGTGAGGGAACATCCGTTCCTCGCGATTGGTGAATGATATGCATCCGATCGGCAACATGTTAAGAATCTAAGATGTGAAAGTTAACTTCATGAAAGAGCAGAATAAAACAATTATAACTGAGAAACACTACGGGATACTTGACAGGGCATATCAGATGACCTGAATCAAAATTTAAAATGGAGCATTATTGTCATATTTTGGTAGGGGCTATCCAGGCCTCACTTTCCAGGTTCTATGCATTCTTGTGGGTGACAAATTATTTCCACCCTACAACCGCTCTCTCACAGGAGGGATGTGGCGAGTCTCTGACTGCTATATCGCTACTTCCAAGGAGAATGCTCGGACAAACTCCATTCCTTGGTTTCTGCCAGTTCTAAACTTCTTCACGGCTAGGACCCGCCATGCCACTCACATTGTAGCAAACCACCGACATTCTATCCGTATTCCATTGGCGAAAAGTAGGTTCCACTTCTTCCTGCAAACAACTGTTCTTGGGAACCATCTCGCAAGAAGATGTTCCCCCGATCACTACAGTCTTAACCTGTTTAAGTCTAAGGTTAACCGTTATTCCCCCACATCATCAGCATAAACTGCCTCTTACTCTGTAACCCTCTACCTCAAGTGGCCCCAGGGCTTTGTACTCACTGTAAAAAAAAAAAAAGTCAATAATTAACATTTTTTGGTAAATGAAATTAAACTGTGGTGGCCCCAATAAGTACTGGACTACGATATACCAAAAGGGGTTTTGTACAGTGTCCCACGAGAGAATCAGAGAAGCCAGGTGCATCTGGGTATTGATGGAAAATGTTGACCTCCTAACTTTCTGATTCGCGATATCAAAGGCTGCCACCGACATCCAAAACAATGACCGACATAGTTACGCTTAAGGTTTGCACACGAGGGACAACCACGTGATAGGAAGATATATACGCGCCCCACCCGAGGTGGAGGTGGAAGACTAAGACCATGTGCGCGCTAAGGCTCCCCACATTAAACCTGGCCTGTCCTATATCCATGTCCCCGTGAGGGATGTGAGAAAATAAAAGGGTAGTGTCTGCCTTCAGGCGGACAAAATACATTTTACCTATTAACTGTGATTCTGACTTTGGACACAACACAAGAAATTAAATGTGGGATGCCTTTACACGAGGATACCAACAGCACGGCAGAAACTGCGTCATTGCCCTAAAGAGGGCGGGTCGGTGGAGCCCAAGTGCACGCGCTAGGGGTCCCAATTTAAACTGGCTTTGTGCCATATCTCTCCCACAGAGGGTTGCTTGAAATAACAAGTGTACTTATCTGTTATGAGGTCATTGAAATGAGAGAAGGCACCCGATTCCCGTTATTCCCGCCCTGTGACGGCACCTTCCATATCGCACTAAGAAAAGGGTGGTTGGTGTAATGTTGACACCAGCGTGACAGATACATGATCGCCTAAGCGTGTAGCACCCATGGCACATAACTGACTGACATGTAACACACGGACAAAATTTAGCCGTACTCGAATTTATAAAAAAAAATGACAAAGTTCTTATTAGTCTGTACAATGTTAACTTTCGATTCTTCTTTTTTTTCTAATCATGTCAATCCATGCAGTAAAGCCACTAAGACAAAATAAGAATAGAGACAAATATTGTTATGGAGCGAAAAAATAAAAGAAAAGGAATCAAGAAGACAGTAGATAACGATTGATATTGTATTTAAAATTTTGAAGATCAAAGTGAGAGAAAAGAAACTCCTAGCATAGAACTTACGGTTACATCTAGCCAACTCAACTGTAAATTGCTGGGACCTTTCCGCCAATCAAGTACTGCGTTTAAATTCATAAAGTCTAGGTGCCATAGCGAAAAATTCATCCGAACAAATACCACGAAAGTATTTATAGAAAAGGTAGAGGGAAGCAACTTTGCGATGGTAAGAAAGTGACTGAAGCCGAGATGCCGGGTCAGGGCCAATAATATTTCTGACTCTTCATTGGATTTTATCAAGAATCTCTAAATAAACAGCAGGAGCACAGGGCCATATGTGGCAGCAATATTCTAAGCACGGTAGACCTAAAATAGGTAAGTGGGATTCTGTAGAGAAAAATTGTCTTTCACGACACAGTTAACCAACCTTCCTAGTAGCAGTCCTAGCAATTGATTCAATATAATCTTTCTACTTCATGTCAGCCAAGAAAGACGCAACGAGTCACTCTCTTGCTGGTGGGAGGCAGAACGATATTTCTCAGATGATTGATAGAGAGCAGTTTCCTTATTGAAGCGTTAAAATTAACAAGCCATTATTAACCCCGGTTAATAGTAGATTGCGAGGCGTTTTTTAGCCAATATGAGCTTATCGGACTGATCATATTTAGTATTAAGACAGGAGTAAATTGTATCATCTGCATAGATACCAAGTTATTAGTACTGTACTGAGGTCTTTCATTACTGGTTAACCTGCATTTTCGGCTTCTTGTCATAATTCTCATACCTTGCCTATGTAAATGCATTTGTTTTGTTTTTTTGTTTTGGGGGTTTGTTTTTTTTACTTCTTTTTGCTCTTTTAATTATTTACCTATCTATTTAGCGATTGATTTGTCCATTTATTTATTCAGTTCGGCAAGGAAAATTCAATAAAATTCAACCGGAAGTAACCACATTAGGACACTGCGCATGACTCATTTTCGACTCACTAATCAGTGCAGCCATTCCTTAAACTGGGAATGATTCTCATCTTCTACTTCCGCCATTTGTCAATTACACAAACAATTTAACAGAAATTTCTTCCTTTTTTTTCTTTTTCTTTTTTTGGACTTTACTTTCTTTCACATTATCATTTTGAGTTATCAATATATGATTAATATAACCGTGTTTTACGATAGGCCGCTTTTCATAATAAGAATTTAGATAAAATAAAATACACGACATCTGCTTCAAGATTTCAATAACTAAAATTACAATTAATTGCAATCGCCACGTTATTAAATCTTCATTCTTATTTTTTTAACAAGACACATCCCCGGGCAAAAGCAATTAGTACTATTAATGTGGTTCATGATTTGTATAAATGCATACATCGTTATATACATAATATAATATAATGCGTAATAATAATAAATATATGCTATAATGCATACACGTGACCACCATAATTTACATATATATATGTATATATATATATATATATTTATATAAAGCTTTGCACTTTATCTCAATCATATATATATATATATATATATATATATATATATATATATATATATATATATATGAGATAAAAGAGGCAATTTCTGTAGATTGGAGGGGAAGATAACAGTTAACTCTAGGCTTGAACAGGTTAAGATCCGGGAAACATCGTCATGGTAGTTGGTTCGACAGAAAAGTGGCTCGTGAGAAGAAATTGTTCGAGTGGAACATAATTCTCATCGATGGAATACGGGGAAAATGTGAGTGGTTTGCTATCATGTAAGTGGCATGGGTGGTTCTTGCTGTGATGGATTAAACTAGCGGAACCAAGTAATGTAGTTCGTCCGAGCACTTTCCGTCGAAGGAATGATAGAGCAGCTCTGAATTAGGATCAAATGGAGATTAGAATCCGAAGGAATGATAGGATAGGGAACATTCCCTAGTTGTTCCTTATCTGATAATATAGCAGTTTACAAGCACATGGTGCCGTTTCCTTTTGGGAATAGATATCTTTCCCAGATATAGAATGAAACTCCAGCTCCTAATCCTTAATTTAGAGAAAACCCAAGACTCACTTTTCCCCGTTCGTGGAAATGTCTAGGGACATAGTTGTCTTGGGACATAGATGAATCCGGCCCCTTTGAATATGGAGTCTTAAACATGGCAGTTCTCCAGGTACAGGGATATCACCATATTATATGTAGAACCCTTCCTTTTTTACTCCTTATAATCTGTTATACTGTGTAGATATATATGATATATCATTCTCTGCATGGGACATGTGTATATAGACTTCTGTATAGCTTAGTAGTATAAAAGACTCTCTGAGAACAAAGCATGTGTCATTACTTTTTCTTTCAGCCATTCTATTACATCCATGAACTATGGCATTATTATATCACAGATATAATAGTTACATGTAAGACTCTTCCTTCTGTTCTTCCTTATATTTTGCTTTGCTATGTAGACATATGTGCCACATAACTCTCCAGGTGGGCCATTTGTATATATATATTATATATATATATATATATATATATATATATATATATATATATATATATATATATATATATATACTCTTCATAGTATAAAAGTCTGTTGTTTGGCATTCTTTTTCCTTTCAGCCATTCCATTCCATCCGTGAACTAAGGCGTCATTATATCACGTATATAGCGATTTTCTAAGCGCTGCTTAGATGTGGCACAAGGCCGGAAGTATGGAGCACCCAGTGAGGATTGAACTCACTACTCAGTCGTAATATATTCTAGCGAGACAAGCTTGCTAACCATTACACCACGCCGAGGATATCACGTATATAATAATGCCCATAAGAGGGGAAAATAAATCTTTGTTCCATAACTCTCTCTCTCTCTCTCTCTCTCTCTCTCTCTCTCTCTCTCTCTCTATTGCCTTCTATATATGCATGTATATTTACATAATTGATTCAGACAAGTGTAATCGATTTACTAAGTATAGCTTAGATGTGGCACAAGGATGAAAGTCTGGAGCTCCCATTGAGAATCTAACTCACTATCGTAGTCAGGCGAGACAAGCTGGCTGACTGTCGAAGGCGACGACAGACATAAGTAGCCGCATAATTCTCTATCGGTGTTAGTAAATAATTTGTCTTAACAAATAGTCAAAAATGTCGGATTATTTACATAATTTTACAATTGCATTCTACTTCTATAATACAAATAAATTTTGTTCCTCTCCCTTTCTTTATAGTTTATATTCAATAATTTCTGAATATTAAGCTAAACAACGTCGTATTTGCCATTCAATAATTATGGACTTTTATTTAACACAATTGGCAGCAGCAAAAGGGTCAAGATGGCGGCACAAGTGGTGTTGGTAATTTGAGAATGTAGAAACAGCGTAAGAAAGAAAGAAAGAAAGAAAGAAAGAAAGAAAGAAAGAAAGAAAGAAAGAAAGTGCAAGGAATGTAAACAAAGAAAGAAAGAAAGAAAGAACAAAAACATAGAGCAAAAAAATAAGAACGAAGAAAGAAAGGATGAAAAAAGAAGAAAGAACAAGAAAGGGCAAGAAATATAGAGTAAGAAAGAAATATAGCGAAAGAAAGAAAGAATGAAAGAAAGAAAGAAAGAAAGAAAGAGCAAGAAATATAGTGAAAGAAAGAAAAAGCAAAAAATATACAGCAAAAGAGAAAGAAAGAAAGAAAAAGAAAGAAAGAAAGAAAGAAAGAAAGAAAGAGCAAGAAATATACAGCAAAAGAGAAAGAAAGAAAGAAAGAACGAAAGGATGAAAAAAGAAGGGAGAAAGAAAGAGCAATAAATATAGAATAAAAAAGAAATATGAAGAAAGAAAGAAAGAAAGAAAGAAAGAAAGAAAGAAATCACACGTGAACAAGACGAATACATTTTAATTTATCTGATATGATTTTATATAATAAATTAACATATTTATATGCACTTATCGGTATATACTGCAGGCGCTTTTCTGTTTTAAATATATTTTTTTAAATAAATAAATATTTAAAGAAAGCTCACTCGAAAAACAAACAATAGAAAAGAATTTATTAACAAAAATGCTCTCATTGTTATTGTAAACGCAAGACATGCATCGATAGTTGCATTTGTGCTACAAATATCCGATTTGTAAATGGGGAGATCATTCTGCGAGAATATTGAATATACAAAGCCGTACTGGGTTTATATTATTAAATAGATATTTCATACACTTGTCAATTGTTAGTCCCTTTTATATGTTTATATCCGATTGTATATGAATAACATGATACGGCAGAAGAATTCATTTTTTTTTTTAATTCTTTTCTCGTCTTTGACTCTTCACACATTTCACATTATCGGAATACAATGATGATAGAAAATGAAAAATATATTAATGATGACGAGTGGTTCGTAATTCGTGGCGGATCAAAGTCACAGTCGTTTTGTTTACTGTTCAGAACCAATGCCGAAAAGGAGCGAAAACAAGATATGTCAGGGTCGGTTCCAGGGGTGGATGGGGGGCGTAGAGGGTGCACGACCCCGCACCATTAAAAATCTAGTAAATTTCTATTTTTTGTTGCAAAGTAGATAAGGTAAGCAGTAACGAACGAAGGCAGATTTAACTGGCTTGTTCTTTTGGATGTTCACAAAGACAATCACTTAGACTATGAAAAAAATCGTGAACCTCTATGCAAATAAGAATCCACGAAAATTGACTTTAGTAAATCCTCTTTCATAAACGCTATATTGTGTTGTTTTTTGGCCTAGAAGGTTCTTCATTTTGCGTAATAGTTGCGTAGGCTTAATGTCGCCCAGATGAATAGTGTTGAATAGGTCATTTATGCGGCGTTCCTCGGATTTGCCTGTCCTATAAATTATAGCTTCCCTTAATGTGTCGAAAGGTTTATCTGTTGGGACGTTGTCCAACAAGTTCAAAAGCAACATCCGGCGGCAGCTTTTCAACAACGTAGGTAAAGCGTGCCGTTTGGGAGTGAATTCTTTTTGCCTGGAAGATGGCGTTTAAGTGGGAGAACCAAACATGTACATTGATTGTGTTAAACACAGGCAAGTTAAGCAATACAGTAGCTTCATTGCCATCTTGATCGGCCATCTTGGGTAGTGATTAAACGCACGTGGTACAGAAAAAATATTCCGCGACAAGTTGAATTGTTGAATGTTGATTTTTGAGGTGTTGTTGGCACAAAATTTTGTTGTTTTTTTTTTTGTTTTGTTTTTTTACTTATTAAGACGAATCCCGTCGAGAAAGATCACGTCGCGGTCACCTATTGGATAGGCCACCACTTCACCAATTGTAAAGGTGGGATTTTAGATAGACCAATAGTATTTATATTAACGATATTTCCAGCGTAAATGATTCAAGTAAACAACAATAACTCCAAATTGTTAATCAACAAATATATATTGAAATAACATACAAGAACAAACATGCAATAAAATTGTTTTCAATGTATAGATAGAAGCTGTTCCCATTTAACTGTAGATTGATTTGTAATTAATTGTTCGAAGAAAGTTCTCTTGGGAGAAAAATGTTCAGAAATCAATATTAGAGCAAAGTTTGCATGTTAAGAATAAATAACACAAAAATACAATTAATTAAAAATGTGTTGTGTTATAGAATGGTTTAAATCAACAAAGTTCTGGTTGATTGAACTTGGCAAAGTCACAGAGAGTAATGTGAGTTTATATTACGAAATTCTGTGTCTGTGTGTGCGTTTGAAATGTTATGAGCAAGATCGGGGATTTGTGCTGACGGCTGGAATCTTATGGGATCTTTCTGACGACTTGTGAAAAGTCGCCCCTTTTAAGAAAAAAGGGTAGGTTCCCACGGAAACGCGGGAAAAACTTAATCTTGCACTAAAATATGTGATTGGTTAAAAATTAATCCATTACTACACTCGTACTAACAGAACAGGCAAGTAAACTCAAAACCGAAGGATTCAAAGAAACGACTGCGATGGCTAAATTGTCCTATATAAAAGTAGTAGTGATTTATTAGCCAATCACAGGCGGGTGTGGAGAAACATACCAACTGCTATACAGTCACTTAGACTATGAAAAAATCGGGAACCTCTATACAAATAAGAATCCACGAAAATTGACTTTAGTAAATCCTCTTTCATAAACGTTATATAATCACACTTTGAATCTAAAAGTTTGAATTTACAATTTTACATATCAAATAAATAAAAGAAAACACAATTTTGAATTATATATATATATATATATATATATATATATATATCAAAAAAATATCTACAATAAAATATGTCAATGATAATCTCACAATAAAATATCTACAACAATAATCCACCCTAAAAATAAAATATCCCGCTATTAACAAGAAATATTAAACACCTGCGTCAACTCCAAAATTCGGACCTGAAGATTGCAAAAGATATGAAACGAGTTGTTGCAATAAATGTAGGATATTATGCATATTTTTACATATATTAAATAGCTCTGACATTTAACATTGAGCACTGTTTTTTTTCTTTCTTTTTTTTTCACTATAGAGTACATATATGTATTTGTATACGAACGCTTGCTTGTACTTTTAACTATATTTATCCATTTGATATACTGGCTCCTGAAATATCAATTTCAGTTGAGCTCTCTGGGGACGAGGTGTGAGTTGGTAAGCAGTGACTATTATAGCTATATAGCGAGACTGCGAATTGAGTCACTGGGCGTGTTTCTAAAAATAAATAAAAAAATTCATTTTCATCCCTACCGTGCGCCGACAGCTTAATAGTTAGAATCTCCGACTAACACCAATTCAGTCAGGTTTCGATCCTAGCTAGAGGCAACCGGATGTCTAGCCACACTGATGAGCTGCGAAACAGTCTGTCTGTGGATGACGTTATATATATATACACGCAGAAAGAGTTTTTATATATATATGAAAACTCTCTACTCATTTCTATAACATAATATACACACACATATATTAAACAATTCAGGTGCGGATCCAAAATTTTTAGTTAGAGGTGTCGTGTTCTCAATTCAAAAATATTTTATATATATATATATATATATATATATATATATATGTATTTAAAATTGTGATATATATATTTAAAATTTTGATTTGAGATTTTTTTTTAATTTTAAATATATATATATATATACATATATATTAGAATTAGAGTTACAGGATATTATTGAAATATAGTAGCTAATTATATATATATATATATATATATATATATATATATATATATATAGGTAACTACGCTCGTCTCGGAAAACCTTCGGTTTCTTGATTTGCTAATGGTCAAATCAATCTCGAAGGAAAAAAAGGTTTTAAAAAAAGAAACAGCTAGGAACATGAACGTCTGTCGAAAATAATCGTACAGCATAGAGGTCCAAAGCCCAAAGCAAAACACCCCGATACGAGTAATCAACTAAATAAAAAATTCCTCAATACAAAAGTAAAGCAGACCTAGTCAAACCTAGACAGCCAGAGAAACCTACCAAGGTTTCACCTAAGCGGATCACCAGCTTTCCCTGACGATCCGCTTCGGTGAAACCTTGGTAGATTTGTCTGGCTCTAGGTATGACTATATATATATATATATATATATATATATATATATATATATATATTGTGGCACAAGGCCGAATTTATTGGCCACCCATTGGGGATCAAACTCACTACTCAGTCGTAATTGTTCTAGCGAGACAAGCTTGCTAACCATTACAACACGCCAATGTGCCACGTAGACTTCTTATATGGAGATTTAATAGTTCAGGTAATGAAATTTGATGAATAGAAAGACAACAAAATGATGAAATATTGTCAATAAGACAGATTATATTTATTTAGTAGGCCTTTTCACTAAACCGATGTATGGAATCATAATTTTCGGACACGACTGCGTACCTTATCAAAGAGATGAGAAATAAAGCATGAAGTGGAACTCTCTTTTACGAAAAATTTTACTGTTGTTGTTTTTCCCCATGTTTTGTATAACTGTAAGAAATTTGATAGTTTTGGCCTAGCGGTTAGTGTTGCAAAAGGCTTCTAGAAGGTTCCCCGAGGGAACTGTATTCTCAGAGTAAGCCTAAATTCCTTAACATTTGATTCTATTTGGAAGATGTCTTAGCTAAAACATTACATTTTCAAAAATAAAATTGAAACAATCTCCTTGCTCGTGTGGTGATAAGATAAATCTATTGAATTCATCAATAGATATCACAGGCATTAGTTAATGATTTTACCTTCTAAAGGATATAACACATAACACAATGCATCATGATTTCGTCTGCACTATTTATAAAAGCGAGAGCATCGTAATGGTTATCGACCCTGAAAAAGAAATTAGCGAACCGAATTCAAATTCCAGGCTACTCTGTTACATTCACTTTCGCACAATCTCATCTCTCCCTCACCACTGGCTGTAGTTTAAATAACCCGGTAGACGGCTCTATAGCTTTGGAGGGAAGCCCGTCTAGAATAAAAGAAACTACTCTGAGAAAATTTGAAGTTTGTTCTTTATTTAAAGAAAGTGATTCCGTCTATATGGTGTGATTAGAAAGGATCATTTTATTACAAGCTCCCTTACTCCCAGATCCGAACGATCGATTCGATCAACTACCGTTCCCAATTAAATACACTTAAAAGCAGCAACTGACATAAATAACCAATGTTAATTAAATGAAATGACATTATAATCCACAAACAAGCACGGTTCTTTGGTACACTGACAAAATTTCTTACTTTGCAATCATCCTTTGTATTCAGTATTTAGTACAATTTAGATGACCATTTATTTCAAATGTAAAAGAATTTAGTGGAAACCACTATATTTTCCAAGAATCTTGTCAAGTCACAAAAAATTCAGAACCATAATTTAAGAAGAGTTCTGATCGTTCATATCGTTAGAATC